ATCAAAAATATCTTAATTTGTGTTCCGAAGATGAACGGAGGTCTTACGGGTTTTGAACGACATGAGGGTGACTAATTAATGACATAATTTTCCTTTTTGGGTGAACTAACCCTTTAAGCTTAGTGAATATTATGTACAGTAAGCACTAGAACTAGAGACTTGTACTACTTGGGGTAGTGTTTTAAATAAACTTAAATTTAGCTTTTTTGTGCAAACATTATAAAAAGGAAAGAAAATATGCACAGTGGCAAATCTTTTGCATTGTTTTTTGTAGTAATTCAATTGTTTTAATATGAATATTGTTTTAATAGAGTGTTCAGTACAGTAATTGTCTGTACATCTAAATCAGTACTTTAAACTTTTTGTTGTCTAAGAGCTTCGTATAACAACTTAACAAAAAAATATCAGTGGCATAAGACAGTAAGATATTTAATTATGTATTATGTAAGATGCTTGTAATAATTGCTTTAATGGTATTCATAATTTCTGCTTAAATACCGTCATAATCTACTTATATAATTTGTATTATCTGGAAACTGTACAAATACTGTGACATATGGACATTATTCTTTTCATTTGTAACAAAGAAACATGCATTTTCTGTAAAGCTGTATTGAAATATGCATTGTGAAAAGCACTATACAAATAAACTAATTGTATTTGAATTCAAGATATGTATACAACTTATTTGTGTGTGTGTGTGTGTGTGTGTGTGTGTGTGTGTGTGTGTAGCACATGTAAACATTGTCACATTCTTTACTTGCATAATAAAAAAATTTTAAAAAAGTCTTGGTACCGGCCGGGATTGTAGGTAGGGGGAATGTTCAGATCAGCAGCTCTTTGGTTGTATGATATTGCTTAAATATACTGTGCAAAAAGTCTTCACACATTTTAGAAAGAAAAAAAAAACCTTCTCCAAACTCCATCCATTCTTCACACTGCTTGTTGGGTCTTGGGCATATCTTCTACTTCAGTGGTAGAAATTTTTAGATTTCCAGACCTTCCTTTTGCAAATAGTAAAATAATCCAGTAAGATTTTCTCATTAAAGGTCCTTTAATCCTGAAAATTTAAAGAATATATAAAAACTGTATTGTTTATTATTTTAGCTATTATAATATTTTAAATCATCATTTGTGAAATGCATCATATCGCTTTTGTGTTTGTTTCACTACCAAAAGTAGTGAAAACTACTACTAGGCTGTAAGGGACCAAGCAGGGCCCAAGTCAACTAAACATAACAAAGAAATCACAACCAAACATAACACGCCAAAGGAGACATGAGGGAAACTTTTAACAGAGTTAACACTGATCAGTTAACACCATTAAGAAAAGAGTAATCACAACACAAAGAAACTAGTATCAAATGCACAAATAATTATAACAAACGAAAATAAATAAGACACAGCAAGACACGAGACAGAGCACATCGTCCCAAAAGCGCTCAAACTATGCTGTCCTCATGCAGGTAACTTAAACTTAACAATAAGTGTTATCAATGAAGAATATACCACTAACTAGAAAGTGTGCACCCAAACTAGTAGAATGTGGTATGCAAGAAATCTAGCGTAGCGTTAGTTCTGGCAGGTCACGTTAGTCAAGCTCGCATCAGCTGACTCTCAGCTACTGAAAATAAATTGATGAAAACAAACCAAATCCATGCCTGGCATTATTGTCACATTATATAAAATAACCTGTAACCAATGTTTTAACATTAAATAATAATGACAACAAAATAAGACAAAAAAAAAAAAAAAAAACGTGGATGCATAAATATGTGCGTTTGTTACTATAGTGTTTAGCTGTGTCATCGGCCAGCACATAGACTATAGGGTTCAACATATTCGAACATATGATTATTGAATAACCATTTTATCTATGTTAATAGATAAAACACAACAAAATTGAACATTTGGAATGTACATTTTGTAATTTGTATTGTGCCAGTAATTAGAAGCAGGTACAATTTGGTGGAATTAATATCACTAAAGAGTGGTGTTGCATGATTGTTTGGAATCCAAAGCTAAAGTTTACACGTGTGGTGTCATGTATTTTTTTCCACAGACATCCGTCTTTGGAATAAAACTTCAAATAAAGATGTAAAGTCATGGCCAAAAGTATTGGCAGTGACATAAATGTTCACAGTTTGCTGCTTCAGTACTTGTGAAAAAAATAAACAATGATAAGCATTTCATAAGTTGTAAAGGCTTTTATTGGCAAAAAACACTCTTTACAGTTATGTCCCTTCTTCATAACCTCATAACCACACAATCTCTATGCAATGAAGAGTGGGAGTTCAACATAATGATCTCCAAACCACTTCATTATCACTATTGCCTATTGCTGCTCTGTGTTTGTTTGTTTGTTTTTAGTGTGTTTTTATTCTTTTAAATTGTATTTATTTTTAACACAGTGCTCGATCCGTGCAACACGATGCTGTTTTTATTAAGAGGACTGATGCTGATTTTTGTTGTATGGCTGAATCGGGACTTCAGGTCGGAGGCGGTCCTGCGCTATACCCGAGACCAACTCTTACTGCTCTGGCCTAGCCACACACTCGCCCCCCCAGCTACCGAGGGATTTGCAGGCGAGAACACTGGCAAACTGTCGGGCACGGATGCGGAAGAGGGGAAAGCGAGGCGGTGTACGGCAGAGATTACAGAGAAGGGCAGAAAGACCACCACTACCCTCAATGCTTCTTTGCAACACCCGCTCCCTGAGAAGCAAAGTTGAGGAGCTCAGAGTTAATACCAGAGTTTGACACTGCTTGTGTTCACTGAGACGTGGTTATGAGAGGACATGCCCGACTCGCTCGTTGCCCTGGAAGGCTTTTCTCTGGTGCGCTCTGACAGGAACGACTACTCAGACAAGAGCAAAGGGGGTGGTATTTGTGTTTATGTTAACCAAAAGTGGTGCTCACATTTATATACAAAATAAGCTGGCCCAGATCCGGCCCACATTTGGCCCAAATCACCATAAAGGAATCTGCATCTGGTCCAGAGCTGGCCCAGTTCTGGTCCAGATCCGGAAAAACGGATTCGTGCGGGTATTGGCCCGTTGTGCCAAAAGACACCGGCCCGAGTCCGTTGTGCGGATCTGGACCAGAACTTCCAATGGGTCTGGGCCAGATCTGGCCCAGATGATTTTTGCTATCTGGGCTGTATTTTGTTTCATGGTTGGCATCATCTGAGGTCCTCTGAGGGGTTGGCATCATCTCTTCTCAGGTGTTCTGGATCCAGACTGAAGCTT